CATTAAGATTTTTAATTTTAACAAGGCATTTAATCTTCATTCTCAAGTGATAATAGTAGGTGCCTATGGCCTTTGAGCGCAAGCACCCGCTCCAAGTTCAATACCCGCTTTGGGTGCTGATATACCATGTGTTTAATAATGAAGGACCCCCCCCCTCTCCTGGGGCAGTCGTCTAAAATGGCTATTCAGTTGCCATCACTCATAAAATGAAACATCAGAATTATGCTGCTTTTAATCAATGGAATTGTTGGAGCGTAGTTCCTCTTTGGTCGAACTAATCCATTCGTGCTACAATGGTACTGCATTGTGGCTCTACCACGTAAATTCTACTTCGTGAGTTACATGGCACTGCGTATGCGGTTGAAGGAAAAGAAAAAGTTTGTATACCCCATGTAGAACTCAGGAAGCAATAATTATTTTCATTACTTCTTTTTTTTATGACCCTTTTTTTTAATTTATGAGTACAATTGTTAACATCAAGTTGAATAATTTTCAGTAAAATAAAACACATTAAAGAAAATTCCTCATTAGCAAAGTAAGCATTAATTTGCTTAATTATATGTATACCCTCTTCCTGTTGATGTTGTTACGTTTATCAAAGCATTATAACGTTAACAAAAAGTAAAAAGTAAAATAACGGCGTATATGTATATACTTAACTGCTGTAGAGCCCGGGTTAGATCTCCGTTGGCACCAAAGAAATTGTGAATTGCAATTTTATTTGCTGATTTATTATATGCTCATTGGTAAGACAAACACAAAATACTTTAAAAATTAAATATTTTGAAGAAATTTTAAGTCCGCAGCAGTTAGGAACAGCACGGCAAACCATTCGCTCCATGACTTTCTCAGAAATAAGAAGAGGTCCAAAAGTGAGATCTACAAAGTCCTGACAGCCTCTTAGGTAGCTCGCATGTGCTTCCGGGTTCAAAACCCGGGTTGGACTGAAATCAGTTATTGGGCTATTCTGTCAAGAAATTTTCCGCCTCAATGGTCTGTGCCTCGGAAAGCAAGTAAAGCGGTTGGTCCTGCACTCTTATCTCTCCGGTCGTGTCGGATTGCCGTCACATCGGAACATGAGTGTGAGAGAATAGAGTTCACTTGTGTTAACGCAAGCACTCGTGCACTATTATCCTGTCCTAGTTCTTTTGAGATTGGTCGCGTTAAATATTACATCTGGGTACAGGCCTCCTCTGATTTCTATCAATAACAGATTATTGCTGACGGGAAACAAACTTAGTTATCTTGCTTATTATGAAATTTTAAGGCAAATGCCTATACCCCCTCCTCACTGATGCTCAACTAAATAATTTTAAGTCTTTAGGCTTTAGAATCATCTAAAGTATGCATCATTTAAATAACAGTGGTATAAATATTGTTATTATCCACGGCTATACATGACTTTATGTATTTAAACGTAAGCGCGTTCACAAATCCCATTAAACGCTAAGGCAGTACGGCACTCTCCTTGAGTGTATCTCATTTAGATATAAATGAAGCACATACGTTTGTAACGATGTCCTCGATATTGTTTCTATGTTTTAATGAAACAGTTGTGCTGCTAGAGCTTAAAAAGAACATTTTCTTTCTTCATGCTCCATTTGATATGAACAAACAAATGAAAAAAAAATAACAATGAATATAAAGAGTTGTGTAAAATCAAATTAGTCAAAGTAATCCTTATTTTAGCCAACTACTACTGTACTATAGGATGAGAGGCGTGTGCCCAGCAATTGGAATACTTATTTTTTAATAATGTAATTACTATCGTATCCATAAACATAATCAGAAGTCTGTGGTGGAAACAAACATAACTATTGCTTGGCCTTATAAACACATTATCTTATGAATCATTCCTCAAACATACAGGTTTCCTCATAGTGTTTACTTCACCAAAAAGTACGTAGTAAATCAGCAGCCAAAATTTAAATCAGAATTTTAGTTATGCCATTGAGTATTCAACTCGGATTGCTCGCACCGCACTAAGATATATTAAGGAACAGCAGTGCTTTTTATTAAATAAAACCATACTGACATTGCCTAACATTGACATACATAACTTACCTAAAGCGTAATATAAATGAAAGAAATAAAGGACGCGAGTGGGGAGAAATTAGCATATCAAGAGTTATAAATTTTATGAAATGGAGGCTATAACTTTTGAAATATAATTGTCATTATTTTGTTTATTCGGGTAAATAATAGCAACATTTTTAATTCGCATTTAAAATTTTAAAGTTACAGCCTAAATACTTCCTACTGCTGGGACTACCTCCCATTTTTGAGAGGGTTATGGATCAATTAAAAGTAAAAATGAGAAAGAGAAGAAGAAGCAAAGACATCCTCTACCTCATATCGTCCCATAGATGAGATAAGAGGCGACATAAAGAAATGAAACAGAAGATGGGCAGACATATTCCTAGTAACAACTAGAAAAAGAAATGTCGGTAGCAGCAAATAGCTTGAACTATACTGGATTTTTATACCCTCAAGACTGGAACACACCTTTTCAAGCACTGCTATTTGGCCCCAGAAATCGGATTTAGGCTGCTACCTATTCAGACGAACTCTCGAATAGAAAAGTAGATCTTTCAGCTAGACTATGTGTTTTTGCTTTCGATTTGGGATTTCAAGTGGATTTTATGCCGATATGATATAATATTATATTTATGTGTTTTTCTCAGAGCATTACTCTCAGATTTTAATCGATAATAGATGTAGACATCTATGAGCCATAGCATCCTAGTGTGGGTAAAATCCTAGTGTGGGGGTAACATTTTTTTTAAAGAACTAATACTCTAACTGAATCTGAGCCAGCCCTATAGCTCAAGGATTTCAAATGATGGGGGAAGAATGATTCTTGAGTGAGAAAGTCTCGTGCCAGTAAGCAAAGTGTAGAGCAGCCCTCCACTCGATGATCTGGTAAGACAGAACAGCTGACTCAGTACCGTGTTCAGTGACATACCTTAGGGGAAACCTATGTCCAGCGGTGGAATTTCGATAGGCTGTAAAAATTGATATACGAGTACATCCGTTTACCATCAGGTCGACTGCGTACACGTTTGTCAGTCTTACTCAATAAAAATACTCATCTAACATTCAGTATCTATCTTTTTTTACATGGCGAAATGTATTTATTTCCTTATTTTGTTTTATTTTATAGAATAAGGCTTACAAACGAGCACACAATCCACCTGATAGTAAGTTGATACTGCGGCTCATTGAAATTTAATCCTCGAGTAAGAATCAAACTGCAGATCACACCTCAGGACCAAGATGGAATGTCTTGTTTCCAGTAAAAAGACCTCCGGTTCTTTATATTCACCATACTAAACACAGCAGAATTATGCTACTATATTACGCTGATTTTCTGTGAAAGAGTTCGCGCTACAACCATAATATAGTTGCAACATGGCTCTACCACGTTAAAGTTCGCATCAGTACACCCTCTTGTAACCCATTCCTATCACGCCTATGTTTTTAACATTTTGTTATTTAGTTAATTAGCAGTAATAGCAGAGCTTCGAGATGTTATACAGAAACGTGATTCACATGTATACCCTTAAGGGAGCCACGGAATGAGAGTAAGTAACCTAATTAATTATCTCGTACGATGTTAACATTCCATTCACATTTAATCTGTACACAATTCTGTTTCATTTCCAAACGTTTCATACCAGCATACTTCAAACTTAATTAAACTACAAATGTAAACATCTTTTATAAAGCCGTTTAATGATGTTTATCTTAATCAAGAAAGTCTCTTGGGATATATTTACGTATTAATATTTATAATAACCATATTGCAATTATATTTGTTTTAAGAATTTTCTTAGAGCTGGTCTAAGCTTCATTCTAATTGCTCATTGTCAGCCATACATACAAGTCCCCTGCTGGACATGAGACTCTCACATATTGGGATAGGGACGACTAGATGTAGCACCTTTGACGATGCTCCCCGTTTCTAGTCTCAATATTTTACCTTTGGCATAAACGAAATAGTTATACCGCCATTTATAAGAATTTTGTGATATTTCCTATAGTCGCCTTTAGCAACACCCAAGGGATGAATTGGAGTACTGAATACTCTTACGTCGATATTATACGGTTTTTTACATGGTAGAGCCATGATGCAGCTATATTAATTGTATAGTTGTAGCACGAATGGGTCGGCTCGACCGGGGAAGGCCCACGCTCTCACAGAATACCAGCGTAAAATAACAGATTAATGCGGCTGTATTGCGTATGGTGAGTGTAGAGAACCGGAGACCCATTTTACTGGAAAAGAGGCATTCTATCTTAGTCCTCACGGCTGACAACGCATCTGCATTTTAATTCGCAAACGAAGATAGATGTAGATATCTATGGGCCACAGCAACCACTTACCAACAGGTGGACTGTGTACTCGTTTGTCGCCCTTATTCTATATGAAAAATAATAACAAAATTATATCATTTTCAATATACATAGCAATCTTTATCGTTAATAATGCAACATATTCCGGTTCCGGTGCTTGTAAATGTTAGACGCTTTTGTGCAACGCTCCCGTAATTTAAGAAATAACACTGTTAAAAATCAATATCCGGTAAACCAGTGCGAACTCAAAGTTTTTTGTGTGTTTGTGCTTCAACATATATAAGAAACACGACAAGAAACATTGGACAAAGTGCAAAATACTATAGAAACAAGAGTGAGGTTAACTGTAAGCATAGATAAGAGTGTATATATGGGAAACTGTACTAGACAACGAAGTGGAACGGTTAGTACCAACATAACAGCAAAGATTAACGGACTCTACAGCTCTGGGTTCTAGCCCTTCTGAGCCTAGCAGCAAAAAAAACTGGCTTTACAACTCTGGGTTCTAGCCCTTCTGAGCCTAACTTAACAGCAAAGACAAGCAAAAGGCAAAGAGTATATAATCACTAAGTTTAAGGTTGCGTTCAAAAACTAATATACATTCTGTTCTTATTCCAAAAATTAACGTTCCGTTTTACCACAAGATGTCTACTCAACTATCATCAGAGATGTCACTGTTGCTAGAAAAAATGAAAGAACAACTTAATCTGCAAACATTTACGATAACAGAAAACATTACAACAACAGTACTAAAAAAAGTTGATGAAAAAATTAAACCAATCATTGAAGAAAACGAGAAATTGAAAAGCGAAATTGAAAAACTTAATAGAAAAATAGAAATCCTGGAAAAAAATGAAAAAGGAAACAATTTAATGATTCACGGGCTCCCAGAACAAAAAAACGAGACTCAAGAAGACCTAAAAACGCTCGTAACTATTACTATGAAGGAAATAGATGTCGTACTAAAAGATGAAGAAATAAACAGAATTCAAAGACTGGGAAAACGTGATACAGATGCAGGTAAAATCAGGCCAATTCTACTTGCTACAACAACCCTTCAAAAGAAGATTCAAATTCTCAAAAATAAGAAGAACATGAAATCCAATACCTACATTACGCAGGATCTATCAAAAGAAGCTTTGCTTAAAAAGAAGGAAAAAAGAAATATAGATAGGAAAGAAAATGAAAAAAGAAAGAGATCTGAAACCTCTAGTATCCTAAAGTTAGGAAACGGGATGCCTTTCAGTACTTACGTGAGAGATCACACTCACTTTCAGACAAACACTCATACACAAACGAAGATACAGGCACCACAAACCGGACAACTACAACAAAATAAACAACAACAAGCTAACAGTCTCCCATCACGGCTGGTCCCCGCGGGAGTACTAGACCACTACCTTCCAACTAAAAGATGTAAGGTACTTCATATCGCAACACTAAACACGAGAACCCTTAGAACTCACGAAAGTTTGCTAGAATTAGAAAAATCATTAGAAAACATAAAATACGACATACTAGGTATATGTGAAATGCGAAGACTGGGAGAAAAAATAGAAGAACACGGCAGCTACATACTGTACCATAAAGGAGAAACTGCTGGTTGTAGAGGAGTTGGTTTTTTAATAAAACAGTCACTGAGAACATGTATACAAGAATTGATAGGAATATCTGATAGATTAGCAATACTAAATGTAAAACTACCAGGATGTAAGAAACCTTGGTCTATCATACAGGCATATGCGCCCACTGAAAACTCAGACCTATCAGTGCTCGAAGCTTTCTATTATGAGATATCTTTAGCTATAAAAAACAACACCGACAAACATATCATCTTAATGGGGGATTTCAATGCACAAATTGGGGCTAGACAAAACAATAGTGAGTACGTACTTGGCAAATTCGGACATGGAAAAAGAAGTCGCAACGGGCAGAAACTAGTTGAATTTCTAATAGAGCATAACCTATCAGCATTAAATACTAACTTTAATAAGAACAAATATAATAAATGGACATGGATTTCCCCGGATGGTTCTTATAAAAACGAAAGTGATTATATAATAACCAACTACCCAAGAGCTTTCACCGAAACTACTGTTATAAGCAATTTGAACTTTAACACAAACCATCGTATGGTACGCTGCTCTCTTACAAAATTCCAAACAAAAATATCTCGCAATCATATTAAAAACAATATGATTAAATTGCCAAGTCAACCTTGCCTGATGAAGTGCAACCCGTTCAAAGAAACAAACGAACATATAACAAGCGATGAAATAGAGACAACACTGAAATATGATATACTAGAAAACGAATTACAAAGCTTGTATATCTCAAAAAATAACGCACACAAACGTAATAAGTATCAACTAAGTGAGCATACCTTACAACTAATCGGAGAAAGAAAGGAGCTTATAGCTATCCAAGCAAAAAAAGAAAATATAAAGCTGGTTGCAGATTTAAGCAAAAGAATAAGAGAAAGTATACGCAAAGATCGCAAGGTCAAGAGGTTGAAAACATTCGAGCACTACATACAAAAAAAGGGGGGTGTGAAAAAAGCTCTGAAAGAACTGCGAGAAGTAGGCAAAGAATAGATACCCAAACTAAAGGATAAGTCGAATACTACCACGATACGACAGAATATCAAAGATGTAGCCACAAGTTTCTACCGTCAACTGTATGCTAGATAGCACCAAATTACAATAGGTCACCACAGAAGAGTACTCACTCAACATATTGATGAAGGGAAATCAGAGCCTGTGCCGGACATCCTATTGTGTGAAGTCGAAAAGGCAATTAAGAGTCAAAAGATGGAGAAGTCCCCGGGACTAAACAAATTTACCAACGAACTTATGAGGGGAAATATAGAAGAACTGACTCCAATTCTTACAAAGATTTTTAACGAAATCTTAACAAGTAGGCAAATTCCAAAACAATGGACTAAATCTCACGTAATTCTACTATACAAAAAAGGCAATAAGGAAAACATAGAAAACTATAGACCGATAAGCCTTATGTCAAACGTATACAAAGTTTTTGCAAAAGTAATGCTAGACAGAATTAGCAAACTGTTAGATAAACAACAGCCAGTCGAACAAGCAGGTTTTAGGAAAGGATTTTCAACAATTGACCATATCCATACGATCAAACAGGTACTAGAAAAATATAACGAATACAATAAAAACATTTATGTAGCTTTTATTGACTATGCCAAGGCCTTCGACAGCTTAAACCATGAATACATATGGGAAAGTCTAAATCAACAAGGAATACCAAGCAATACTAAAATAATAAAGAACATCTACGCAGACAGTAAGGCCAGAATCCAGTTAGAAACTTTGGGGGATGAATTTAGCATACAAAGAGGTGTGAGGCAGGGAGACCCTTTACCCCCAAAATTGTTCCCTGCTATGTTAGAAAATATCTTCCGCAACCTATACTGGGATAAGTATGGCATCAATATAAACGGGTCAAAACTACATCATTTAGGATTTGCCGACGACCTGGTATTAATTGAAGAACGTCCCGAAAATCTCGAGTATATGATAAATAACTTAAATGAAGAAAGCATAAAAGCTGGACTAAAAATAAACACTAACAAGACCAAAATAATGACAAACAGCACAAAATCTAACATCACAATAAACGGCGATTCTCTAGAATATGTGAAAGATTACAAATACCTGGGTCAAGTAATTTCCATAGAAGATCAAATGCCGAAAGAAATTAATCTCAGGATTGCAACAGGTTGGAAGAAATACTGGTCATTAAAAGAGATCGTGAAGTCCAAAGACTTAAGCATGTCAATAAAAAGAAAAACATTTAATACTTGCATTTTACCTTGTCTAACATACGGATGCGAAACCTGGACCCTCACAAAAGCATTAAGAGAAAAACTTGCAGTAGCACAGAGAGCAATGGAGAGGAGTATGACCGGCTATAAAAGACAGGATAAGATCAGAAATATTGACCTAAGGAATTTAACAAAACTTACCGACATACTCGAACGAATCGATCAACAGAAGTGGAGATGGTCAGGACATATGATGCGTGACAAAATGGGAAAGTGGAGCAGGAGAGTAACAGAATGGTATCCAAGAGACAGTAAAGGAAGACGAGGAAGGCAGCACACAAGGTGGGAAGATGAAATAAGACTTACAGCAGGACCAAACTGGAGAAGGGTTGCTCAAGATAGACAACAATGGAAATCGTTGGAGGAGGCCTTTGCCAATAGGCACGCCGAACTAAGAGACATTTTGTAGTTAGTAGATTATTTTATTTTAGTTATAATGTTAAATGTTATTAGATCGGAATAAAGGGCTTTATTATTATTATTATTATTATTATAATGCAACATATTATATTGTATATTAAAACCGACAGCTGAACACGAGAGGCCTATGTTCAGTCGTGAGTTTTAGAAACCTTTAATGATGAATGAGGATGAATGAATTATGATGTACATACACACGTACTGTGTGAATATCGTATGACGGTGTTCCTGTTTTTTTTTTTTGTTAGGGATGCTTTAGATGGCCACATTGACGATATAAAGGGTTATATTGCAATAACCGATCAAATTTGCAAAAAAGGTTCAGAATAAGTAATATAGACAAATTGTGAAGAAATAATAATTAAGAAAATCTTGAAAATTCTGTCCTGTTTATCTTTAAATTCATAATGAGTGGTAATGCATTATTTTAACTGATTTAACAGCGCACGCAAAACGTTGTTATCCATAAATCACATTCAATTTGGGATAATTTCGAAAATTAAACTAGAAGTCTTATTTACTCGTATTTTCAAAAACTACAATAAATATACCATTATGGATATATTTGTACTTAAGTTTAAAATTTGGCTACTCTTTAAAAAATAACCCTGTATATAAGACTAACGACCCACCCTGGGTTCACCTAGGTTGGATCTGTACGCTTTGATCTTTCAAACTACGTAACAAATTTTGATAGGGCTTTCATCAGTAGACAAAATGATTCAAGAGGAAGGTTTATATTTATAATACATGCATGTTATGTAATTCTCCTGTGCGTGTGTATGTAACTGAACTCCACCTAAACGGCTGGACTGATTTTGATGAAATTATATGTATGTAATTAAGTTGATTCGACGGTTTTAGATTTGCAATAGACCAGGTAGGTGTCGCTGTTGACGAGATCCAGAAATCACTAGTGCAAAGCCGGGGCGAATCGCTGGTGTTACATAACGGAGACTCTTCCAATTGTGATATGTCACAATATAGAGGATATCCAACATACGCCAACAGAATGTGTAAAATATCAAAGTGAGAGAGAATCTGGTGAAAAATTGTAATATTAATTTGGGTGAAATAGGTTGGTTTTCATACATACTTGCGGAGCCACACTTAGAGGTGGCAAAATCATTTCTATATTCCTATTACATTGATTCCCCTTTTCTAAACACTCGTGATTATATGTGTAACAGGCACAAGGTATGGTCTTATAAGACTGAAATTGTAGTATAAAAGCCTTATAAAATAAGAAACAATTATATAAAAATGTTTTTAAACTGAATGAGTGAGTGTTTGCACGTAACCTTTCACACTAATATTTAGTAGGTACTAGTTATGTATGTATGTTATGCGGTATATACGTTATATTAAACCGATTTCGATGATAGTTTTTAATTTACAAGGCTATTGTTTAGGGTTGCTCCCGTATAAATTTGGAGAAAAATGTATACCCGTAAAGATAGTAACTATAAGGACGACATTGAGATTGAAATATACCTTAGTCCACTCTAAAGGGTAAATTAACTTTTAATAAAAAATTTAAAGCCGACTTCAAAGAACTGAAAAGAAGAAAATTATTTCATATTCTAAAATCGGTGTTTTAAATCTTCTATTTATAATAATATTATCTTAACATCGACTTCAGAATGTGAAATTATTTCCTTCTTTGAAATTCGTAAATCGAAAATCGAGAATTATAAAAATATTTATTTAAAATCGGTTTTTTCTTGTTTTTTTTTTAAAAACGTTACCCCCACACTAGGATTTTCTCCACTATCGTGGGGGCAGTTTACATACATAAATTTCTCAAGGACAAACATCCAGACCCGGAACAATTATTTTTAGGCCATACAAATACTTGTTCCGTGCGGGATTCAAACCCGTGGCCCTTAGCGCAGCAACTCATTGTTAAGCCACTGCGCCATGGAGCCGTCAAATTTATTATTATATAATTATAGTTATTCACTTTAATTGAAGTATGTAAATTTTAAATATTCCCCAAGTGCAATAAAATAACTTTCGTTTTGCCTACCAAGATGCGCTTCAGAAAATGTTCTCATTGTTCAATTTTGTTTGTAAAATTGAAGACGACTCAGTATTTTTCATAATTTCAACTTAGTGTGTTCATATTAATTTCCACCCGAAAACTTTTTTAATGATTATGAATGTTTCGCTATTGTCGAAAAACAATATTATTTTTACAATTATTTTTCAATTAAATGATGATGATAACTAATAAAACGAATACTTGTTAGAAATGATTGTGATTGTGATTTTTTTTTGTTCTATACTATAATTGATTTAAGCTTATTATTGCACAAATTTGATTTTCTATTATAGCGGAGCATGTTTTTTGATATGTTCTAGATTTTTGTTTAAGTAATTATTGTGACAAAAACTAAATAATAAAATTAAGTGAAGTAAACCCTGACACACATATTCAAGTTTGGATTTAAAATTTAAAAATGAGAGTGCAACTTTGTCATATCTGCGCACGGGTTGCATATATTTTAAGCAGTTATTCGCCCCTCAGCTCGCACTATTTCTTCTTATATGAAGTGTGTATTTTATAATTAAATTGGGCTATACCTCCATGTCTCGTTTTCCCATCCCTTATCATTATTGCAGCAGAAACGCAGCCTTAATGATGTATCCGGTTTCCGCCGTTCACTATATGAAACACGGCTACGTTTTGATGCTATTTCACGCTCGAATTATGTGAGAGCATGTGACGGACGTGACCTTAGTGAAACACAAAATGTACCCAAAGAGTATGTTATCACAACATTTTAACAATAATTATATATTATGTAGTTACATATCACAACTCGACGTGTTGTGATTGTGTAACGGAGATAATTTACCAGAATTTTTTTCTCTACTATAAGTAAACTAGCTCTTTGTTATACATAGTGAACAAGAACGCTTGCGTATTCTTACATTTATTTTATTTAGATTTTTTTTTATAGAATAAGGGTGACAAACGAGCACACAGTCCACCTGATGGTAAGTGGTTGCTGTGGCCCATAGACATCTATATATGTACATCTATCTCCGTTTGCGAATTAAAATTGTTCGTGCTTGGGATGGTCGGGTACAATCAGTTCAGAGTGAGACGGGAGTTTGCCCTGGTTGCATACGTAGTGAAGTTGCTCCGTGGTGCTGCGTGCAACCCGGGGGTGCTGCGCCACCTGCAGCTGTGCGCACCGGACCGGTACGTGAGAGGCGGCGCCGCCCGCCGCCGCTCGTGCTGCCCGTGGCCAGGACCAATTTGCTTAGTAACTCGCCTCTAGTCCGAACAATCCTCGTATTGCTGCTATTTTA